CACTCTTTCTCCATAAAGCCATTTAGATACTTGGATCACTGAAAACTTGGAAAGCAGCTCTTGAGACATGAAGAATTAGTTTGCTCTCACTAAGCTGCAGGCATGGGAATCTCCCAGATGAAATATGAATGGGGCTATGTGTATAATTTTATGTGTTTATACATATGCATTGTCCAATAAAAACAGTCCATTTATATACTAAACATAATGACGATTAAATAATAGCATATTTCACTAAGAGGTTGGCTTCATAACCAAAATAGTGCTTAGTATCATTTTCACTGAGAAGCAGACGAGAGAAAATCGCTACCATCTTTCCTCAATTCTGCGTTAGGAAATTTTCTTAACATACACCATATTACAGAATAGCTACAACAGATTTTGGAAGATAAGTAAGAAATAAGAACAGAAGTCTTAGGGTAAATTGTCTGTCACTTAAGAAACACATGGAATTGGCAATTCTCACTTTCAGTTTTGAAAGGTCATTTTTCTTCCTAGCATCTAGGAATGGATTTCTTGAGGACTGAACATAAGGGAAGAGGAATACGCTACCACATGTTGTGCTGCTGTCATGGCTGAGGAGTCCCCCACTGGTACTGAGGCGTAATCTTTTCCTGGGATCCTTTTGATTTGCATTTTTTTACTCCCAGTATTTCATCTATCAGTGACATCAGCTTTCAAAACAAAGCTTATGATTTTTTATGAACCACAGAAAATTCTCTCTCCCATAGTAGAGCATGTGTTTAAGAGTGAAATCCAGGCTTTTATAAACAGAAGGCTACAAGTTTCCACTCAGAACTTCCCAACTTGGCACAAACCCAATCATATCAGAGCTGTTATAGCACAAACTGTCAACAAAATTGTAAAACAACTAAAAGCAGGGTTTCCCCATCAGATTTTAGAAAAGGCACAGGGACAAATAATAAGCAAGTCATAAACTTAATAAAAATAGCTGAAGTTTAGACTTTTTAGACTTTTCAAAAAAACACACTGTGAAACAGGTAGACAAAAAAAAAGGGACTATGCCTACATGTACACATTCTAAGATCTTTGTATTGGGCAAGCTGTTCAGAAATCAATCCACATACAATTATTATATTTGCGTAATAACAGCAATAACCAATTGTTTATTATCCACAGAGACTGGACTACTTATTTACCTCCCATTCATCTACACTTTAGCTACTTCTGCAAATTGTGGTCTAAGTAGCTCAAGATTTGTGGAAAGAGTAAGGGCATAAACAGAACATTTTCTTCGCTCTTATTCGCTGTTACTGTGTTCATTTTACATACTTTGAACATCTCTAATTCCGGTGTGAGATTTCACTGACACAGAGGTTTAAAGCCACCAAGTGAGACAATGTACCAGCCTGCAAGAAAGTCAGAAGACTCTTCATCCTGCCTTCCACAATTCTTGGTGTTAGATGCATGCTTGCTTAGTTGGTGTTAGTGGCCTTTATTAGTCTGCTTTATGAAATGGTGAAACTTAAAACTTGCTATAAAAGTAATCCCTTTCCCCCAGTTTCACCATGGATTACTGAGCAGAGGTGGCCTTGGGAAGGGCTGGATGAGCAAAAAGGAAGGAAACTTCTTCCCCCTTTTGGTGACAGCCAGCCACAAGCCAGCTCCACCAGCAAATTGCAGTCCAAGTCCACTGCCCCAAGACCACTTTGGAGTAGGCCACAGACAGACAATCTTTTCCCTTTTGATGTGCAATGCTAATTAGCATTGAGCTTTCATTGTCTAGCTGGAAACAAGTTAAGTGTGTCCACATTTACCTGTTCTCCGTGAACCTGAACTGAATATAGTGCTGACAATGCTCGAAATTATGTAGATTAAAT